GTTTACATGGGATTTGCCTATAAATAGGGATGGAGTCCCATTGTAATTTCTACATTAGAATCAATTAGAATTTCAAGTAGTATATATGAGTTGAGAGAATTATTGGAAGGCATGCAATTTATGGGATTCATGTTATTCATATAATTCTTAGATCACATTGTAGATTACATTGGTGTGGAGTTTTTATACAAAGAGAGATTTTCTCCCAAACTTACTTGTTTCTCGATATTGTCTTTATTATTTCAAATATCATACTCAAAATTTGTCTTGATTTAGCCTACAAGGTTGAATCATTTTGGGGGCGTCGAAAGGCTGACTTAGCGCTTTCTCGTAGAGACGGGAATTGTGTTGCGTTAAGGCCGCACGGTGTCTAGTTTTTCTAGTGTAAGAAATCTAGCCCCATGACAACAGGCTCAAATATATTAAATGTCAGTGGAAGATTCATTTCCACACACATATTAGCACAAAAGAAATTATTTTTCATAGAGATGTAAGGGTCAATCGAAAATTTGAACAAAGAGGGAGCAGCAAATACTGAATGCAGAAGGCCTTAGAGGAAAGTTCAAATTTACAAGAGGAAAAGAATACATTTACTTTAAATTTGATAGCATACATCATACCCTTATATCCAACACTAAGGCCATGTATTTACTTCTTAGAATTGAAAGCATGCAATTATTCATCAACTATATACAGAGCAGTCAGGAGTCGTAACATAGAACTCATAAACTGGACCATGAAGAGGACAGCATACCTGTCTCCATCACCTATAAATTTTTTAGGAGATTGAACATTATCCTGTACAATTGAACCGCTCGAAAAAAATTTATGTCCTGAAATGGCAGGTGGCGGTAAGGAGCCACTTTGAGCTTTTGCTGATGCATATAGTTGACTTTGCTGTTCACAATCTGAGCGAACAGAATTTTTCCAATTTGGACAACCAGCATCCATGTTATCCTCACTTACATCAAAACAACCTCTGCATTTAATAAAAGATTTCACATTACTTTTTCTCTAAAAGATGTATCAAATAAATCATTTTGTAAGAACAAGCTACCAACAAATGTCACTATAAACACAAACATAGATTATTCGTAAAGATTCCATCAACTTAGTTGAATGAGCATATATTGAGAAGATAGAAGAAGAAATCTAGGAAATAGATGTCATGGCCCTTATGCAAGCATGTCTGTGTTCAAGCTAGGAAAAGCCATCTAATATGTAAAAGAATAAAGCTTACTTTATTATTTTAAAATAAGTATGCAAGACACCAATGCGTATTATGTCGATAGATGACATGTTCAAAAGGACCTGGAACCCACTCCTACACCAGGGAACTAAGAATTTGTAAAGTGCAGCAGATAGCGGAATTCAGGCTGATCAAAGATGGATTGATAAAATGTTTTCACTGACTGTATGCTGGGCAGATTTCCTTTTACGCTCGTATAAAGTGTCACCTCTAAATCCACACGTGCAGAATCCTCCCTATTTAGTCTGTCCACATGCACATTGTTACTTAGACTTCGCAGAAAGTGTCAGATAAAATCCCTTGTTCACACAGGAATTCTCTTTCTTCATGGGTTTTTAAGTTCATTCTGTAAATTGCGCAGGATCTGAAATGGCTCAAAGATGGGTATTCCATCTCAATAGAAGAGTCTGAGTAATATAGCACATATTTAACACATTCATGAAAATTGCTGACTGATAACAGCATGCAGCTGGAGACGTGGATTTCAATATAGATTGCATAGAAGGTTCCTTAAATATATGATATTCAATCCAAGAATTATGAAAACGAATTTTTCTAGCTGTGCAAACCAGAGGTACCATACTTGAGTGCCTGAAGAGGTTTCATAGGAAATACAGCAAGTGAATTCTCCAGATCATGAATATCATTGAGTCCATCCTGAGAAAATAAAGATTGAAACTGCACGTATCAGATAACTACACGGGATTGGGGGGGCCCAAAAAACAGAGCAAAAGAGAGAAGGGAGTAAATAACAATATGGAAATTGGAACTATACATTGAATAGCAACTATACCTCCAGCTGCTGCGCAGCATGTGAATGATTGCCCCGATCAGGGGACACCCCCTCTGGAGGAGTACCAGCATCATCTTGCCCGTTGATGAGCTTCCCACACACACTTGAATCTTCTGAATTAGAAATAGCATCATCCTGAATCTGCAGGCAACAAAGCGGAAGAAGCTCGACTTATTAAAGTGGCATTCAAATGATTCAATCCATATTACCAACTGATCAATGGACTAATAGCATACAAGGGCAGCTTGATTCTTCAGATCCTCCAGATTGAAATTCCAGGCACTGATTCCTCGGATGTACTCTTGCTGCACATTAAGATCACCCAAGATAAGGGTTGACAGAGAAGTTTAAAATACAAGCATGATAATATTGCAAAACAAACTTCTGATTCTATGCAACATTTATCGCATCGTCTATTACCGTTCAGTTAACGAGGAAAATATTGAATTGCATACATCAATAGGAGATTCTTACTTATCAACGGAAGCAGAAATCACGAAATGTACACATATAAAAGCAGTGATTAATATACAATTTAAATTGGCATATGACGTAGAAAAGTGTAGCCCGTTCTTTATTGATGTCACTCCTTCATATTCATCCAATATTACTTCCTTAAATTCCTTTCCCAACTACATCCCATTTTTGGCTAATAGTTCCACTGATGCTCTTTCGACATTTAATTTCTTCAAGTTTCAGATCCAGTTGCATTGTTACATCTGAGTCATCCAACCAACAAATGTTGCAAATATGTTTCTTGTGCATGGAATAATTACCTGACATCATACTAATCCATTTCTGATTCCCCAAGTTAAATAGACCAAAAAACAGTATATCTGCAAAAGGTAACTAAATCCAAAGTGCCTTCTCATGACATCTTCTAATATCTTATTTGAGAAGCACAGAAATATTGACAAGTTAAAAATGTAGTTTATATATACAAGGGGACGCAGAGCACCATGACTTCTTTTCATTGATTGGGAAGTTAATCTGATCGATAAAACCTTTCAGCATTCTACGCTGCTGTAAAGGGCAATAATTTCTTGGGTGCATGTTTTCCTCTTTACTATTGTATGGCATCTTTCTTCCTTGGTAGGATCCAGGTATTCTGCAATATATGCATAAACATTATAATCCCAGTCAAACGTGGATCCTAACAAGTGCGAGCCCCAGACAACACAGTGAATTCGCACAAAATTAAATTATACTCCCGATTGTTTCTCAGCATTTGTCATAAGAAAATATTCCAGCACTGGAAAGCATTTCTCATCTTATAACATATTAGCATTTTAGCTGCCCAAATAGCATACAATTTCAAGTTCTAATTCTGAAATTAAGATATAACAGTGGAGTGGCTCAGCAGCCACCATGAAGAAAGACAACAGTACAGATGCAAATTTGCATTTAGTACAGAATGCAAATTTGCATTTAATTTGTGTTAAAGAAAATTCGCTTTGTTCCTGCTTTGTTCCCTATGAAATTGTAATATATGTGTGGGAAAATCTGCTTAATAAGGAAACCAGGGAATCATTGTATTTATGGTATACAATTCCATAATTTAGGAGATGTGACAATCTCTTATTAAAGGAATATCACAGCCCCTTAATTAAAGGGATTTAAGTTAGGAAAGTTTCCTATTTTATTTATTCTCTGTAAGTATATAAATTTAGAGATTGTACAGCATTATTATGAATAAGAATAATTCTTCAATTCTTCACATGGTATCAGAGCTTTAAGCTTTCTGGGAATTACTCTTTGTTTTTCCGCTTGTTGGCCTTCATTGCCCAGTATTTTGTTCAGCCTTCATTGCTGTTTCTTTTTCTTCTCTCTCTAAATTATTTTGATAATTCTAAGTTCTTTGTTCTCCCTTTCTTTGGCCACTCTTATTCTTGATTTAAACACAGCTCTTTTGTGATCTTCCCAATAGCCATGGCAGAAATCATAGACAGCACTAACTCCTCTGAGATGCAGAATGTGGAAACAAAATCTGCTTCATCTTTAGGAGAGTTACAGAATCTGCAGGCAGCATATAGATTGAATGGAAAGAATTACCTAAAATGGTCACAGCTGGTTAGAACATTCTTGAAAGGGAAAGGCATGATGAGTCACTTGCTCGGTACAGGACCTGCAGCAGGAAATCCTGGATTTGATGCTTGGGATGAGGCGGACTCTATGGGGATGACTTAGCTATTGAACTCAATGCTACCGGAGATTAGCGATACATGTATGTTCCTAACCACTGCAAAGGAGATTTGGGATTCCGTTGGACAAACCTATTCCAAGGTTCATGATGCTGCTCAGATATATGAAATCAAGATCAAAATTTCAGCCACCAAGCAAGGAGAACGTACTATCACTGAATATGCCAATCTCATGAAAAATCTGTGGCAAGAAATGGACCATTATCAATGCATTAAACTGAAATGCAGTGATGATGCGGCCATGGTGAAAAAACTGGTAGAAAAAGACAGGATTTATGATTTCCTTGCAGGTCTAAATATGGTGTTTGATCCAGTCAGAGTCCAAATTCTTGGAAAGGATGATTTACCCTCATTAAATGAGACTATTGCGATAATCCGAGCAGAAGAAGGACGAAGAGGAGTAATGGTGGAACCACAGGCTGTCGAAGCATCGGCTATGGTCTCAAAAGTGACTGTTTTTAAAAATCACCGTCCTAACCAACCAACTATGAGCATGAATGAGGAACTGAACATGTCTAAAACCACAAAGAAAGATGAATTATGGTGTACGTACTGTAAAAGGCCTCGTCACAAGATAGATCATTGTTGGAAGCTTCATGGAAAGCCGAAATTATCAAACAAAAATTGGACCATGAAAGATGGACAACAAAGGGGGCAGGCTCATATGACTTACTCACAACCTGGGGAGGAGGACATGCCACAAGAGCAAGGTGACTTCAGTCAAAGTGAAATACAGAAATTGAGGAATTTATTGGGGTCCTTGGAAAAGTCTACTACTTCAGGTGCTTGCTCTTTATCACTCTCAGGTAAGTATCCTCTCCCTTGTGTCCTTAGTGTCTCAAGCATAACCTCTTCTCCAGATTCCTGGGTCATTGATTCAGGGGCCACAGATCATATGACCTATTCTTCACACAAATTCACCTCTTATAGTCCATGTCCTAGTAATAAGAAAATAACCACAGCTGATGGCTCATTAATCACAGTTGCTGGCCGAGGAAGTGTTTTAATACACCAGAATTTGAAACTTGACAATGTTCTTCATGTTCCAAAACTATCCACTAATCTCCTATCCATACATAAGCTCACAAAAGATTTGAATTGTAACATGACTTTCTCTCCCTCAAATTGTGTTTTTCAGGACCAGGGAACGGGGAAGATGATTGGACTTGCTAGGGAGAAAGATGGACTTTATTATCTTGAAGAATCAAGTGGGCAACATGAAACTAAGAATCGCTTATCTTTATCATTGCTTTCTGAATTTTTACCTTCAAATAAAGACAAAATTTGGCTTTATCATCTTCGTCTAGGACATCCTTCGTTTAGCATCCTTAAAGTTATGCACCCATTGTTATTTAAAGGAATTGATGAGAAACTTCTTCATTGTAATACTTGTGAACTTGCAAAGCATAAACGTGCTTCCTTTCCTATAAGCAATAAAATAACATCAGTTCCTTTTTCACTCATCCATAGTGATATCTGGGGACCTTCTAATGTTCCTAATATATCTGGGGCTCGTTGGTTTGTTTCGTTTATTGATGATTGTACTCGTGTGTCATGGATTTTTCTCCTAAAGAATAAGTCTGATGTAAGCTCAGTGTTTCCCACATTTCATAGCATGGTAAAAAATCAATTTGGGGTTGGGATAAAAAAATTCAGATCCGACAATGCTAAAGATTTCTTCAATCATGTTCTATCACATTTTTTCCAGAAAGAGGGAATAATACATGAGTCATCTTGTGTCAATACCCCCCAACAAAATGGGGTGGCCGAAAGAAAAAATGGCCACTTGTTAGCCACTACTCGAGCCCTCCTATTTCAAAAACATATTCCGAAAAATTATTGGGGAGAAGGTGTTCTAACTGCTACCCATCTTATAAACAGGTTGCCTTCTCGGGTCCTTGATTTCAAAAGTCCCATACAAGTTCTGACTAAGCATTTTCCCAGCTTCAATACCAGAAATAATCTTGTTCCAAAAATCTTTGGGTGTGTGTCTTTTGTCCATATCCAGTCTCATAACAGGGGAAAGTTAGATCCACGAGCACTTAAGTGTGTTTTTATAGGATATTCACCTACTCAAAAGGGATACAAGTGTTATCATCCTCCAACTCGAAAGTTCAATATGTGTCAACCGATGTAACATTTGTTGAAGGAGATAGTTATTTTCCGCAACCTTATCTTCAGGGGGAGACAACATCTATTGAAGATAAGGCCAATGACTTATTTTTACTAGAACTTGATTCTACTATTCCTTCATGTCCTGTACTCGAGTCACCTTGTACTCCTACATCAAAAACTTAAACTTTGGAAAAAGATAATCAGGTTCAAAGTTCTACTTGTCCATTGTTGGTTTATTCAAGGAAGAAAGTACCCATCATTCAACCTATGCAAATCCAAGATTCTGAACCAACTCCTTGTAATGAGGTAATTACTTCTAACTCTCATGATGCTAGTGATGATCTTCCCATTGCTCTTAGGAAAGGCATAAGAAAATGTACCCAAAATTCACTATATCCATTATCTCACTTTGTTTCATATGAGAAATTATCACGCAATCACAAAACCTTTCTCACACATCCGAACACTATAACAATTCCCAAAACTATGCTTGAGGCCTTAGGTCGTAAGGAATGGAGAGATGCTATGAGGGTTGAAATGGAAGCTCTTGAGAAAAATAACACTTGGAAATTAGTGGAACAACCTAAGGGAAAGAGACCAGTAGGATGTAAATGGGTGTTCACTGTTAAGTATAAAGCAGATGGATCGCTTGAGAGATATAAGGTCAGGTTGGTAGCTAAGGGATATACTCAAACTTATGGAGTTGATTACCTAGAAACTTTTGCTCCGGTTGCAAAAATGAATACTGTAAGAATATTATTATCCTTAGCGGCTAATCTTGGGTGGAGTTTTCAGCAATATGATGTCAAGAATGCATTTCTACATGGGAACCTTGATGAAGAAATCTACATGGAAATTCCTCCTGGCTTTGGTTCAAATCTACGAGGAAAACAGGTGTGTAGACTAAAGAAAGCCCTATATGGTCTAAAACAATCCCCTCGAGCTTGGTTTGGGCGATTCGCTAAAGTTATGTTAGCAATGGGGTATAAACAAAGTCAAGGAGATCATACTCTGTTTGTCAAGTACTCGGCGTTAGGTGGAGTAACTGCCTTGTTGGTATATGTGGATTACATTGTGACAACTGGAAATGACATGGACGGAAGAGAAGCTTTAAGGAAGTGTTTGATTAAAGAGTTTGAAATAAAAGAGCTAGGTAGGTTGAAATATTTTCTTGGGATTGAAGTTGTTTACTCAAAGCATGGGATCTTTATTTCGCAACAGAAATATGTGATGGATTTGCTGAAGGAAACAGGAAAGCTAGGGTGTAAGCCTGTTGAGACTCCAATAGAATTAAATCATAGACTCGGAGAAGCTCCTGAGGATGCCCCAGTTGAGAAAAGTGCTTATCAAAGACTGGTAGGGAAACTAATCTACTTGTCACAACTTGATTAAGAAATCTACATGGAAATTCCTCCTGGCTTGGGTTCAAATCTACGAGGAAAACAGGGGTGCAGACTAAAGAAAGCCCTATATGGTCTAAAACAATCCCCTCGAGCTTGGTTTGGGCGATTCGCTAAAGTTATGTTAGCAATGGGGTATAAACAAAGTCAAGGAGATCATACTCAGTTTGTCAAGTACTCGGCGTCAAGTGGAGTAACTGCTTTGTTGATATATGTGGATGACATTGTGATAACTGGAAATGACATGGAAGGGAGAGAAGCTTTAAGGAAGTGTTTGATTAAAGAGTTTGAAATAAAAGAGCTAGGTAGGTTGAAATATTTTCTTAGGATTGAAGTTGCTCACTCAAAGCATGGGATCTTTATTTCGCAGCAGAAATATGTGATGGATTTGTTGAAGGAAACAGGAAAGCTAGGGTGTAAGCCTGTTGAGACTCCAATAGAATTAAATCGCGGACTCGGAGAAGCTCTTGAGGATGCCCCAGTTGAGAAAAGTGCTTATCAAAGACTGGTAGGGAAACTAATCTACTTGTCACACACCAGACCTGACACTGCCTATGCTGTTAGTGTCGTAAGTCAATTTATGCACAATCCAAAAAGGGTACACCTTCAAGCTGTCAACAGAATCTTACAGTACCTCAAGGGAACTCCGGGAAAAGGAATTCTATTTAAGAAAGGAGAAAAATTGACTCTTGAAGCCTACACAGATTCTGACTATGCAGGGTCCCCAGTTGACCGAAGATCAACATCAGGTTATTGCACCTTTCTTGCTGGAAATCTTGTGACGTGGAGAAGCAAGAAGCAGAATGTTGTAGCAAGGTCTAGTGCAGAGGCGGAATTTAGAGCAATGGCTTTAGGGGTTTGTGAACTATTGTGGCTGAAGATCATTTTAGCAGATTTAAAGGTAGAAATTGAAAAACCAATGAAACTCTACTGTGATAACAAGTCAGCCATCAACATAGCACATAGTCCTGTACAACATGATCGCACCAAACACATTGAAGTTGACAGACACTTCATAAAGGAAAAACTAGACAGTGGTCTAATTTGTACTCCTTTTGTTTCTACTAATGGACAAGTTGCGGATGTGCTCACCAAGGGACTAACCGGTGTGATATTTCAAAAGATGATTAGCAAGCTTGGAATGGATAACATTCATTCACCAGCTTGAGGGGGAGTGTGGGAAAATCTGCTTAATAAGGAAACCACGGAATCATTGTATTTATGGTATACAATTCCATAATTTAGGAGATGTGACAATCTCTTATTAAAAGAATATCACAGCCCCTTAATTAAAGGGATTTAAGTTAGGAAAGTTTCCTATTTTATTTATTCTCTGTAAGTATATAAATTTAGAGATTGTACAGCATTATTATGAATAAGAATAATTCTTCAATTCTTCACAATATGGCATAGTTGATTTATCACCTGAGATAACTGATCCCTGTCCCCGTACAATGCGTTATTTTGAACAAGAAGATCAGCTTCTTTTGCCTGAAATAACATTTGATTTTGCAGAAATAGAGATAATCAACTCCACAGAAAGGGAGACATTAAAATGCATGAAATGAGCATAATACCTTGAGCATCCTAAACCGTTCACCTAGAGGGGGCAATCCATCCAGGATAGTACGGGCTAAATAATCAGTGTTGCGTGCATGCTTGAAGAAATGGTGCTTTAAAAGCTTTTCTGAGGTGGGACGCTTTTTTGGATCCTTCACCAAGCAAGCAGCAACCAGTTCTTTGAAAGACTGAAAAATGGATTGCAGGTTCAGAAAAAATGTACAAAATTAAGCTCATTAATTCTCGTAACAAACCAGTTCTTTTTAAAAAAGAAAAACCTTGGAAAACCGTTTGTCTCTTTCATAGTCAAGCCCAGGTGGTGCATTCTGCAGGGTCATCAGGAGAACCTGCACTTATAGGAAGGGTAGAATGATCTCACGAAAGATATAATGTACTTACAATGCAAAAGGATCACTAGGGTAAATTACCAACCTTCATTGGTGGATACTTAGAGAATGGTGCATGACCATGAGCAAGTTCAAGAGCTGTTATTCCAAATGACCAAATATCTGCTCTGTTTATACAAATTATGTTGCACAAGAACTTAGAAAGTGAATTACATTAAAAAATATATATTAGAATTGTTCAGAGGAAATACTCACTTAAAATCATATCCATGCAATTGCTGCATAACTTCAGGAGCCATCCTGATATAAATTTAAAGAAGAAAAATACCCAAGTTAATATTAACCATTTTCCACAATAATACGAGTAAAAGCAAATGCCAACAGGGAACACCTACCAGCATGGAGTTCCAACAAATGTATTTCTAGAACGCTGGCGATCACCAGTGTCAAACATGCATGCAGATACTCCAAAGTCTGCTAATTTAACGGCACCATCAGAATCAATCAATATATTCCCAGCCTGCAAAATTGTGTTAATTATGTCATATGTTGCCAGAACTAAATTTGGAAGAAGAGAAAAAACTGTTTACAGAGATGATAGAAGTTAGAGCTTCTACCATATAGCTTTTACCCACGTAGAGAAAAAGTAAAAACAAAGACATGTCTCAATTGACTACGAGAGTAGAAATTAGTACATTTCGCCAAAGCAACATAAATAAGTTTATTTACTACAAAATGAAACTAAACAATTAAAGATCTTATTGGACAACCAATCCATAAGTTGTATCCAAGTGGATGTACAGAACAAGCTTTTCAATGGAAATGATCGAATTAGAAAATACATAGCAAGACAGGGAAAAACAAATTATCATTCCATTCAAGTAAAAATTGCCACATGAGACACCCATACCTTCACATCTCTATGAATGTGTCCATGGTAATGAAGGTACACAAGAGCTTTGAGGACCTCGCGTAATAATGTAGAAATAATAGGCTCCTCCAAACCTTCCGGATAGGATGACTTCATTATATGAAGGCAAGATCCCCCAGCCATGTATGGCATTACAACCCAAAGGTAATGGCCTGTAGTGAAGGAGCAATGTGCTCGTACTACATTTGGATGGTCAATCAAAATCATTGTCTGTACCTCTCGACGAATACCATCCTAGTCATATCACACCCAAGAAGTAAAAGTTAAAAAAAGGGGGGACAAATACTTGCTATGAACATAAGTTCAAACGTGTGGTAAGATTTAACAATTAAGACGAGAAACAGTAAACCATGCATATCTTTATGCCTTAGCCATGTCTAGAATTAAGAGAAACACAAATTTCCCCACCATCAATCTGTGACATATACGAAATCTTCCTTTTTTTTTTTTCGTTTTGTACTTAGTACAAATGACTTCTAGAAATTTTATTTGATTCAAATCGAAAAATATGTACTCGGTGCTGTTTTTTATACAGCCACCATTCTTCGAGCCGCTATACCTAAATCAAGTGGGCTGATAGAAAATTTATCCTAAAATTTTATTTAAAAAGTCGACACTCACTGGAGGAGTGGAGATCGGCAGTCTTATTTTATTTTGAACCCGAATCACAAGCATAAGAAAGCAACCAAAAATACATCTTTTGGAACATAAGTATGATTGCTGCACTGTCTAGTTATGTGGACAAAAGCGTGCTTGATTCAAACGGAATGACTTGGAAAAATATGAAAAATGTAAATAGAATACAAGCCATGTAAAACCATGAACTGTCATTGTTCGAGTTAATTAAGAAGATAATATACCAGGTCACTGTTACACTTCTCGAGATCAAGAACCTTGATTGCAACTACTTCCTTAAGAGGAATGCAGAAAGCTCTATACACAGTCGCACTGACACCTTCGCCAACTTCTTCATATAACTCATAATCTTTAGCATCGAGAGGAAACTTATTTCCTGGCACCTGTTCCATAATTTCTCCTTGTATCAAAAATTAACACCCCCTTTACACCTTGACATCACAGTAAACTCCAACTGAATATAGCCAAAAGAGGTGGGACTCAAGAAAATATGAAGTTTCTTCAAATAAATTAGCATTTTCCTTCTGTATACCCAATTTCTGTAGCTGCAACACCTTCACAGCATGATACTTTCAACTCAATATTTCTACATAAGGAAGCTATTCCAACTAAATACTAATCTCCAACTGAAGGACCTTCCAAAAGTATAGACTGATGTAGATAATGCCCATTTAATAAATTTTGTGCTTCTTTAAACTGAACTTCTCTTGGCCTCTGTAGATAAGAATTGATTCAAAAAGAAGCTGCACTTTTTCTCAATAATCACTCGAGTGATTATTTAGCCAGGATCACAGACTGATATGTGAAGTATTTATTGTCATGCTACGTATCTCCACATAAACCTTCTGAACAAATAAGGTCCAGAAGTTCAAAAACTGCAAAGAAACAAAATTGACAGTGTATTTACATTTGACTTAGTGATATCTGGCCAAATAAAGATGACAGTCGTTAATCGAGATACAACTGTAAAGAGGGAATGGCAAATAAAAGCATATTTGTGTTTCGAAGTGTGCAGGAATTCCTCTAATTTACATTAGAGGCCACGCCCCTAAGGCACATCTCTAAGTGGTAAAAGGGGAAGGTGGAAAAGCTCCAACTTTGCTTAAGGCTGTCGTGTCAAGCGTTCGAATCCTAAAATATGGATTTGGCATTGGGTAAGTGTAAGTGTACAAGCAGCCTTCCACCCTGTACCCTTGGAGGCATAACCTGCAATTTACCTCATTTACCGACCTAGGGCAGGGCAGGTGGGGACTGCTAAGGATGGGGTTCATCCTAATTTTTTATTTTTTTTTACATTAGAGGCCATTATAACTTCAACTTGTACATTAACTCTAATTTTTCTTTCTTTCTTTCTTTTTTATAAAAAAATAAATGTAAAATTTAGTCACTGGGGAGCATGAAAATATCATAATATGCTATTCCCATTCGAGGGTGTAATGAACAAATCGAAATTAGCAGTGTCTCAACAAGTAACTGATCAATTAAACATATACGTCATAAAAATAAAACAACTAATGCATCTTCTCAATGCACCCCACCAAAGGGTCAATCTTCATTATCCAATCAAACGCAAGACCACGAATTAATCAAACAAAACAGCAAAATTTACATAAAAATGTAATTAAGTATTCCACCAAGATGCTGAATCGTTTTGACCAGTTCCAAGTCCAATAGGTATAATCAACTGGAAATTATACGGACCTAGGGTTTTAGACCACGGAACTTCGAGCGAAAGGAGAAAATATAAATCTTCAGAGAGGAAGCACGGAGAATAAACGACGTCGTCTGCAAGTAATTTTATAAAACCTCTGGTTCGACTAATCCGCCATAGACCATGTCAATAGAATCATCAGGTCCTCCCCCAACAGGTGTCTACGGTTCTTGCGGTGGAATCTTCACAGTTTAATCATATGGCTAAATAAGTAAAATTCATTTTCGAAATAACTATTTTTCTTACTTATTATTTTCTTGGTAGAGGACAAGAAAATATCTTATTCTCCGCTGAAAATAGTAATAAATTAAGGGAGAATAGCAACGTGGTTCCTAATCTTTCAGAACTTGGCAGGTATTACCAAAACCTTTCATTTTGACAGATGAGATCCAAAGCTTTATTAACCATTGTAGATGGAGGACAAGTGGATGGAATCCGTCCGTCCATCTGTTAGTTAACCCAATTTTTTTTTCCTTATTTTGACAATTTAAGTGAAAGGAAAATTGGTGATATCTCTATTTTTACTTTCCTCAAATATTATGTCGTACTTTCTCTCCATTTATGTGTCATACATTAATAAAAAACCCTCTCTTTTTTCATTGAAACACTTTCTAACCTGTAAGCAGCTATGGAAATGAATGTGTGCAGATGTTGAAGCTTGTTGCAAATGAAGACCTTGTGGACGAACTTGAACCCAAGAAAACTATTTCTCACTTTTTCACGTAGTCGGGATATGGCTAGGTGTAACTTCTTTGCTTGGTGTGACCCCCAATGTATGACAAATCGAGGGAGTGCACTCTTGCTTTTCTTCTAATAAGGTGGGAAATGGAAGCTAAAATAAGGAACCTTTGTTCAACATGAGCTAGTGTGTGAAGGGCTTGGATGGTGGGATTTCTTATGAGAGTTGTTGTGAAATGAATGTTCGGCTAGATCTTGTATGGTTTTAGATCTGAGTAAGATGTGTTTTTATCTTTTAATGTCTAGAATATTAGTTTATGTAGTATTTCGTGATGTATTAGATGTTGTAATGTCATTTTGTTCTATTAATGAAGTGTTTCCATAAGTTAAAGCGTTGGCACATTTACTAAGTTCCTTGTAGTGCTCATATAATCTTCGAAATACACGTGCAGTGAAGTTCCCAAACCTTTTGAAAAAGGTGTAGCAGAGGTCCCAAACCTTTGTTAACTATTGCTGCATAAGCATTGCAACCTCTTTTTCCAAGTAATTGTGTTAATTTCCTAGTACAAACTGACAACAATTCATGCAAAAGAGGCAAACACAAAATAAAAACCAGAAATCTAGCAAACATGATTTTTAATAGACAAAATTAGTCAATATTCAATACAATATGTTCAAACATACATGATGTTTGCTAGGACAAAGATGACTACATAGAAGATGTTTACATCCAACAAAAAAATTTCATTATAGATATTAAGCCCATGTAGTCTTGGCATTCGTCTTTTTCTTCCTTGGAGCCTTTCCCGTTGAAGTTGATGCCTTTCTCTTATCTATTGACATCTCTGCATGTGGTTGTTGATTTGTGGGCAGGATAGTTTTGCAAGTCTTTTTGTTATGACCTACCTCCCCACAATTTTTACTAGTCATTTTCATGTCAGTTCTTGCTATCTTCACACCAGTAGATGGCTCATCATGTGACATTTTTCTAATATTTTTTGGTTTTCTAGCTTGTTTCTTCTTCACATGTGGTTTCCATGAGTTCTTTCCCAACTCTGACCACCGTTCAGGTCCTAACACTGGATGAATGATTGGATTATATGATCTCAAGTAGGCTGCTTTCTGGTAACATGGATCAACATACTCATAGATACCAATATTTCTCAATAGCATTCATGCAATTGCATGTAGACATGGTATTATTGTTAATTGCTATTTCCTACAAGCATACTCTTTCTTCATCAAGTCCACACTCCACCTCATTCCATCCATATTGCTCACCTTAAACTTTTCATCACATGCATAATCTGCTTTCAAATATCTTGATTCTTTTTTAGCACTCTGAATGATACTTATAATTATTTATCCAAATGCATGTTCCAACCTTGCACCAGATTCCCCTTTAGCATTCATTCTCAGCATTTGTTGATGTATAATCTTCTCTAGCATGGTGATGATAGGCTTCTCTCTGGCAGCCAAAATAGAGGAATTAAATGTCTCGTACAAGATATTGAGTAAACTATCACACCTTGAATGTTCCTGAAAAATGTGATCTAGTCTATTGAGCTGCTGGCTTTTCATTAAACCACTTGAATGCTACCTCATTCACCTCTTCCATTTCATTCATGACAGCCATCCATTTTGGCACAATTGTAGACCTTGTTGTAGCCTAGAACAAGCTTTTTCAGTGTTAGGCCTTTATACCTCAAAGTGAAGTTTTCCGTACAAATGCCTTGCATATCATTTGTGCTCTGACCCTTCATTGAATTGGTCAATAGATTCAATAAGAACTTTCTACTTGTCAGAAATGAATGTCCATGCCCTATTGTTGTACAATCTTATATCAAACACTAGCAACTAGCTTGAAAGTTCGGGGATCAAAGTGCAAATATTTAATAGTTGGGTGATAGTTGATGAAATTTGGGATTGGGCAGTTGTCCAGGTCACTCCAATTTTTCAAAACTACACTTTAATATTTTTATCATAACTTTTCCTATTGATATTGGATTATGGTGATTTAAAGTGTGTTGGATAAGTAACTCAAAAGGTTACAAGTCTACTTCAGATATACATTTTTCAATTCGAACATTTTCCATGCCAAAAATGAGTCTTAATCTGAGGCATAAAATATGGAGCATAACAAATGCAGCTGAAAATTAATTTGTGAAAATACTTTGACTATAATTCACTCATTTGATCTCCAATTCAATCCAGCTCATCTGATATGATCTTCAACCATCATTTTAGGGTTCGATTCAACTATTGATTTTTTGCACTATAATCCTGAACTTCCAAGCTAGTTGCAAACCCATCATCATTTCCTTCATTTTTTTTCAAATGTTCATAGACGGATACAAAATTGAAACAAAAGGAAATAAACGTAAGTTAAGTGGAAATCAACACCTTGACGATATAAAGATTTAGTAATATGGTCCGAATAAGTACACAAAATGCACTTATCAATACTAGACAGGGTTGAGTGTGTGTTGTGCGTTATTGTAAAATAATTTATAAGTGTTGTGAAAGTAATATTTGATCATTCATTTACCGTTTTGATCTAAATGTGAGAAAATTCAAGCTCCTGGAAATAAATGTTAATTATTATACATGCACATAAATAATGAAATGTATAGTTAGATGTGAGTATTAGAATTACAACTAAATGCATAAATAAAGACAAATGGCAAATACAACACATGAATTAATGCGAATATTAATTAATTTAAAATTAATACCAAAGAATATATATGTGATAATGAATGTTATATCATTTATATTAAATGAATATAATTTAATTTTCAATTAAGTGAAACTGTATGCTAATTAGCATACATGGACGTAAATAAGGAACTACATTCTTAAATGTGAAATTCTAATTAATATTAATGTTAATTAACTTATAATTAATAATAGGGACGTGTGCGTGAATATGAATGTGAAATTCTAACTAATATTATTTAAATGAATGTGAATGTTAATTAGGCTCTGTTTGGTACACATTAT